TGCTCGCTGGAGTTGCAACGGAGTTAGGCCGCGGCGCATACTGGTCCACTTCCACTCGCGTTTGTTAGGGAACACGAATGCGTAGCATCTGTCTGGCTACTCAACACACTCGCTTGTGTTTCTCCCATAGAATGGATTCGATACTTGAAGCGAATAAAGCTTCGTTCATTTTGAACATAAAGGTACTGTCTGGCATTGTATTCAGTGCGATGATAGAGCATGTATGGTACAGTTTGAACAGAACTCCCCAGGCTGTTATGCCCATTTCGAATATAAAGAAATCGAAAACCAACCCATCCACTTGGTTGACCTTTTCGATCTAAGTTAGCGCAGTTCTTACCCCGGTTTCTAGTCACGCTGTTGCTTCCTATGATACGCGAGATAACTCAGTGGTTAAGGCGCCCGCTTACGGACCGGAAGGTTCTGGTTCGAACCCGATTTCAGTATCTCGATTGTTCCTGTCTGGGCTTGGGCAACCTGTCAGTATTCCAGCCTCTACGATGCCCGATTAGACTCCAACCAACTTGCCTCCACCCTGTCTGCCTTATCATCTCTGTTTGGTGTTTGGACGTTTGCCAAAGTGGATACAAGTTCGATGACAGCATAAGGTATATTCGAAATTTACCGATCCTTCTCGTGCAATGCTGGAGGGAAAGTAAGGAACGGGTATAGCTCAAGATTAATCATGTCAACTCTTTTCTAGTGTCTCAGAACTACCCTACCCAGAATATTCACCACAATTCATCTATTCAATCCAGTTCAGCTTATCGTTCGTCTTCACCGAGTCGTTTCCTACTGATAAACCCACAGTCTCGAGGTTTTGCGGTTTTCCAACGGGCATCGGGAAACGAAGCGTTGTACTTTTGAACGAATGTGTCGCTAGGACATTACACAGCATCAGTGAATGCCCTGGGAAGGCGAATTTTGCTGTTCAGCAGATTTCAATGGAGTTGACTGTTTCCAATTGTCATGGCCACCAACTGGAACCCACAGGTGACGTAAAACCCTGGACGGTGAACGTGGAACCGCCCACGGTCTCGGAGGTTGGACTGCATATGTTCTCTCAAGCGCCACCGAGCCTCTGCTCCAGATGACTTCCCATCCACATTGTTCGGAGATGGGGTTGAAGTCCTCAGCCAGTGCTTGTCTGATCTGTTTGCTTGCATTTGAGAGAAGGACTCTGTTCAAGACAACTGGGGACGATCAAAAAGGGGCTTGTAGTGAGTGTGGCAACCACGGGATCAACTTGAACCCGGTCGTAACGAGACTGTTGGCGTCATTGGTGCTTCATCACCTTACGGTGGCTCATGAGACACTGATTCGAGAGCTGCAAGCGGGATTCCGGCCTTCTTCACACTTCGTCAGGTGCTAGAACAAAGCCACACGTGTAAGCGACCCACGATTCTACTATTCCTGGATTTCCAAGGCGCATTCGACTCGACTGATGGGTCTTTTCTGCTTGACACGCTTGCCCACCAAGGAATGCCCCGGAAGCTTGTGAGAATAATAAGTTCTTTGTGTTCTCAGACTTCCGGACGTGAGAGTGTACGGAGAGCTCTCCAAAAGCTTCCGTACACAAATTGGTGTCCGTCAGGGATGTTCACTCTCTTCATTCGTGTTAGACTTTGTGATCGATGAAATCGAGACGAACGCTGGAGAGTCTCCGAAACCCAGGTCTTCGAATAGCCTGTGAAGAAAATCTTGTCGATCTGGAGTATGCTGACGACATCGTTCTCATGTTCGAAGAGGCGGAGAAGGCGCAAGTCATCCCGTCCTTTGATATGCACTTTGCACCCACAAAGTGTAAGGTCATGCTTGTGGACGTGCAGTCACTGAACACGCCCCTTACAATCCAGGGAGAGGTACTGGAAGTTGTGG